GCGATGATAACGAAGTTTAGTTCGCAACTGCGTAGCTTTCCATCGGATTTTACACATGACTTCAATATTTTCATGACAATTAGAAAACAGTATTAAGCTTCAAATTAGGCCGTGTCATAGTTCAAGCGGTTAGTCGCTGGCTTCCCACCGGGGCGGGCCGGGTTCGATCCCCGGTCTGGTCAAGTGGGATTTGTGGTGGACAAAGTGGCGATGTGACAGATTTTCTCCGAGTACTTCGGTTTCCCCTGCCAATCTTTATTCCACCAATTGCTCCACAATCACCCTCACCTATCATCTGGGGCTGGTACAATAGGCCAGAAGTGGTCGCAGTACAAGGGACTTAGTCCCACCCCACTAGCAATAAATAGAAAGCTTCAAATTAAAGCAAAACTATGATGAACATATGCTAAGGTGTGCCCGTTGAAATTTCAGCATAAACTTATATTATGTTCGAAGTATATTTCAATGGAACATTAATCATAAAATTAAGTAAGTCTTGATTATCCATTTTCTCGTATTGAGCTCAACAAATATAATATGAACTTAACCACGTGACTGAGTGACTGATTCAATGGCGAATGACCTCACTGGAGCTGTAGGCAATTAGTTATCTGATCAAGAAATTACTTGCTATGAATCCCAGAGGCTCATTACCGTCTTCACAAAAGCACATAATTTGACCCTTTAATGATCCAGTGAATTCCAGTTCCCATCCCCACAGTCTGTTTCTCTGAAATCCACAGATGGGGATGTTTGAAACAGTAGGTAGATAAACGTACTGGTTACAGTGTTGTGTGTGTGTGTGTGTGTGTACGTGCGTGTGGCACACCAGAGGTAGAGACTGATAAATATTAAAAAATTCTTCTCTTTTCGAAAAAATGTGGGCAATAATGCAATTATTGACTTTTTGGGCATATCAATTGCCCTGTTTTTATTTAAAACGACTTTTCGGAAACTGGACTCTACTTTCGTCATCAGGTTAATGGGCTTACTCCAGTGTAATATTCGATAGAATAGCCCCTGTCTCCGCACACCAGAGCCAACACAAGGCAGGATATACTATAAACCAAATGCAACATCATCCGCGGGAGTTATGACAGAAATTTATAACGTCATATACGTGTGGCCTTGCACGTAAGACTGTACATAATGTAGTGGCTAAAGTCAGTGAAGTGAGAGACGCACTCAGACACTAAAGCTATAGAGACAGATTCTTGTAACAGACCGTAGAAGCCCATAGGGTTGAGACGTCGAGGCTCCCACATTTACTAGGCAGTCGGCTCACAGATGGCGGTGAGGTTGACTCAGAGGGGTACGCGAAATTAATTCGTCTTTATATTATAACTCAGATGGTACGAAATATTCTATTAATTATTTTTTTGTACTTAAAAAATCTGTTTATCTGGAATAATGGCGTAACAAAAATTTTAGACACGAAATTGCTTAAATGTATCTATGCTAGTTGCGTATCAGAGACTTATACTTCTGCCATTGAAGGATTTAACCTATAAACACATCGTAACAGTATTATAAGTATAATACATCTGTAAATATTGCACAAGCATTATAGTTACATTATTTTATTTAATTCTTTTGTAATTAGACATGCAGATAACTTCAATTTGGAGTTATGAGGAGTCCTTGACTATGAATTTTGTTGCTAGAGGGTTGGTGGACCCGAAGGACTATGTTAATGCAGAGACGGAACATTTCTGAGGCTTGACCTCACTGTGACCCTAGATCGTCTTGCTTCGGAGCTCGTGTCATACTTGATATATCGCTTTCCAGTCACCCCTCCCTTCCGGCATAGTTTAGATAGCGTGCTGAATCAGCGTGTCGCAGCAACCAGCTTTGCTGCTGCTGATAATCGAGAGATGTCTTACACCTTCCTGATAAGGCAACGATAAAAACCTGTGAGCTCAAACAGGATAAAAGTTACCCAACTGTACAGCTATGTCACATATGCTGTGTAATGGGGTGTACGAACTGTTTCCGGGGTCCAGTCCAGTACCAGAGGCCCAAGGTAGGAAGAGCCCCTTCTCAGGGTTACATGTCGAGCTATGGCGGCGAACCTGTCTAAGGGAGGGAAATCATAGGGAGAAAAAACAAAAACTCTAGGCCTCCAAGATAGGGGTTTTGCAACAGTCCGATAACCTGTTCAAGTAAAAAGGAGTTATAGTACTCATACGCCTCGACAGTGGCATAGCCCACGCGGTTAGTTGCCGGCTTCCCACCGCGACCGCCTGGGTTCAAGCCCAGGTCAGATCATGTGAAGAAAGTGGCACTGGGGCAGGTTTTCTCCGAATACTTCGGTTTCCCCTGTCAATTCTCATTCCATCTGCTGCTCTACATTCATCATTATTATTATTATCCGGGGTTAGTACTGTCACGTGCCTTGGTAACGCGACAAGTAATTTATGGATTTCGGATTAGATGAATCGATTTGTTGGATATTCACCAGGAGGAACTACAATCTTACTATAACTGTAAGGTCGAGAGCACACCAAGGAAACTGGCAACCGCAACGCAACCGCCATGTCCGAGAATTGTTATCAGCCTGAGTTGAACACATGTTAGTTAATGGAGCAGTGCAAATTGAGGAAATGGCAACGCAACTCGTGCAGAGACCGAGAAACTCAATTTCCAGGCAGCGGAGCATTCCAGTCTTCTCACAGTTGCGTTGCTGCGTGGTTTCCTAGTATTAGCTGTACTGTAATGGGTTTCAGTGATGCATTTGTTTGTTAATGTGACACGAGAGGTTGACGTAGTTGCTAATTTTGTTTTGTGCAGTTAACTGAGTAAGTGCTTGGTATATGACAAACGCCACTCAGACTGTGCTAGGCGTGACAAACTAGAAAGAATTTCTCATGAGACGAAGGAGTTTGGATCCAGGTTAAGTTCTTTCGAAACAGTATAAGCGCTTCAGTTTAAATTGTCACACAAGAACGGATGCATCTATTGTTTTCTTTTCTTAATATTGTATTTAAGCATCCCGTTCCATTAATATATCATTTGTTTCACATATATTTCCGTCTTAAATGTAACTTATTATATAGTCACCGTCCTTCCACATTACATGGTTCGGCTATATACGGCCATTATCACGCATCTTCTGTCTTGCTAAAATTGTTGCACTGTATGTCAAAATTTCGCATCGCGTGTAAAAGCGTTATTTCCTCATTAAAATAAATTGACCTTAATTAGAACAAATTAACATCCCAATATTTCCCTTATGGTTGTCGTCCTCTCTTCTCACGCCGTCTCAACCGGTCTCAACTACCTCCATATTATGACAGGATCAGTATTATTATCTTCCACTGCAGAAAGTAAGTGCACGAAATTAAAAATACGTAAAGAAATGCATTACGTCTAACGAACATAACCACGTAAGATGATGTGAGCAACTAATCAAACACAAGTTCCCTCAGTGTGCACATGTTCTCACAAAGGTGGTTATGAAGAAATCTATCTTCTGCGATATATCGCTGTATACTTCGACCCTGAATATTGAGGCGATATGTTCCTTCGAAACGTTACTTGAGTTTCAACTGACTACACAGAGTCGTATCCAAGAAAATATAACTTTATATTTTTAGGGTTCGTTCGGTTCTCATGATAAGATGAATAGAACTAGTGCATACCTTGTCCTACCTAGTTTCATCTTTCTTCATACTGCCATCCATAAAGTGGAGTAGACGTTACAGACCCAACCTTATACTGAAAAGATCCTGAGTTTGGTACTAGTCCTCACCACAAATACAGAAAATAGAAACTTTTTTTTTATTGCTAGTGGGGTGGGACTAAGTGCCTTGTACTGCGGCCACTTCTGAACTATTGTACCAGCCCCAGATGATAGGTGAGGGTAATTGTGGAGCAATTGGTGGAATGAAGATTGACAGGGGAAACCGAAGTACTCGGAGAAAACCTACCCCAGCGCAACTTTGTCCACCACAAATCCCACTTGACCAGACCCGGCATCGAACCTGGGCCGCCGCGGTGGGAAGCCAACGATTAACCGCTTGAGCTATGATGCGGTCTAAATAGAAACTTAGTAATAAATGTCTTTCTATCTATGGCTCTACGGTCCTTTTGTTGTACCTTGGCCGCTTTTTCAGTTTCTAAATCCTATACACAGTCGGTAGGACTCCTTGGACGGGAGATCAGCCCATCGTAAGGCCACTACCTATACACAAGACAGCACAAAAACACAATAAAGGCACAGAGACATCCATGCCTCAAGTGGGATTCGACCCCACGATACCAGCGTTCGAGCGGGCGAAGACTGTTCATGCCTTAGACAGTGCGGCCACTGTGATCAGCCAATATATAAGTCAGTGTGATAAAAATTAGTCAACTGAAGGAGAAAGTAGTCAATTATTGAAACGTTTTCATATCAAATACAGGTCTACGTCAGATAATGTCAGAAGAATATTAATACCACATACAAGAATTGTTTTCAGATAAAAGCATTGTCTTTTGACAACGCCGAGTAGTCAGGTGTAAGTGAACTGACGTTTCGGTGGAACGTAGCGCCTTAAACTGCAGCCCGTTTAATACCGGCTTCTTGCTTGGCTTGGAGGCGATATCTTCTTCTGAAACGTCGGTTAACCTTCATCGGAATACACAGTGTTATTTCCTAGAATATATAACTCTTCATAATGACCGCTGTGAGAAACTCAGTTCCTACGTTTTCACAAACCTTTAAGGAACCAATATATAGTGAAATCGAGAGCAGCTTATACGGTCAGAAAAAGTCCCTGAGGTAGGAGATGTGGTGTTTTTCTAGTTATCACATGTACATCATGTGTAGGCTGTCAGATATGCTGACATATGCGTGACTTCACAATGTCTTCAATTCGAGTCAGTTATTCACAAGAATTTGCTGAAACTAAACGCAGTAATTTTCGGACTGTGTTGTATATTTTAAGTTGGAGTCTCACAGGAAATCTTGTGGGTCAAGGCAGAGGTATAATACTCGTATATTACTACATAATCCTTACTATGACGAGTATCGTTCTGTCCTCCATGAAAGCGCTCACACATCCGAGGAAGGATACGATTATGAGGATAACTCCCGCAGCAATGAGGACGTAAATCCCCGTGTAGTATTCACTGAGCTCCAGTTTCTCCATCCATTCTCCAACTCCCGATTCCAGGCTCATCCACAAGGCCAATCCGAAAATGGACGCTCCAAGAAGCTGTCGACAAAAACAGAACTGAGTAAACAGTGGATATAGTGAGTAATTTTATGAAATACTGATATTTACACTCATATACAGGATCCGGGAGGGAGGTGTGATGGTTTTCAGAAAACTAGTACACAGTTATTTTTTGACGAATAGCATATTTTCATGTTTTTGAAGAGTACATGTATAATGCCATTTAAGATTCTGTAACAAAAAATAAGAAAATTTAAATTCATTTTCAGAAAATAACATCATGCAAATGGCGGCCGTTATTGTTCAATCATTGTTGCAGACGAGCGGAAAAGTTGTCCATAATTCTTTGAAGGATAGCAAGTGGAATCGCTCGAATTTCTCGAGTGATGGCATCTGAAAGGGCCTCAAGAGTGCGTAGTTTGTCGATGTAAACCGTAACTTTCAGGTAGCCCCATAAAAAGTAATCGTACGCCTAAAGATCTGAGGATCGAGGGAGCCACTCCACATCCCCAAGCTTTGAAATGAGGTGCCCAGGAAAATGTTCTCTCAATAAGCCCATTGATTCTCTTGAGGTATGGCAAGTAGCCCCATCTTGTTGAAACCAAATTGTAATGAGGTTGATGCGACGCCTTCGCAATTCAGGCAGTAAGAACTCGCGCAACATTGTCACGTAACGTCGTGAGTTTACTGTTACAGTGCGTCCTCCTTCCATGAAAAAGTAAGACCCAATTACGCCGAATCGGGCCATTCCGCACCACAGTGCCTCGCAATGTAGGGGTCTTTGATGGAGTTCTTGGGGATTGCTTGCCGACCAATACCGGAAATTTTGTTTATTGACGCTTCCTGTCAAGTGAAAATGCGCCGAACTACCCGTTTGAATAAACGTCTAAAAACAAAGGCGGGATGTTCAATCGTCCACGGTTCCATGGTTACTGAAATGGCGTCTTAACAGCGAGTAACTGCCAACCATTGCGCATGCTCTGGTCCCCCTACCCCCACTTTTACACCCATTAAAAATACGTCACAGTTCCCTGCCGGATCCTTTATAATGTCACATATAGGGGTGACTTATAAGACGGCTTTTGGACTAATGACTGGATTTATTGACACCTTATACACTCACATATGAAGTCTTCTTTTCGAGGCCTGCTTCATTTCTTGTCATTATTCTGCAACTGCCAAATCCGAAAATCTGACTCTTCACTTCTAGACGACTGTTCTATGCTCCGTTAAGCGACTTTCTTTGTTCCTTTATGACCCCTCGGCACAGACGCCAGGGAAAACACCGTCTTCTGTTGCTAAGGAGAGGGCCGCGCCATAGCTCAAGCGGTTAGTCTCTGGCTTTCCACCGCGGTGGCCCGGGTTCGATACCGGGTGTGGACAAAGTGGCGCTTGGGCAGGTTTTCTCCGGGTACTTCGGTTTCCCCTGTCAATCTTCATTCCACCAAATGCTCCACAATCACCCTCACGTTTCATCTGAAGCTGGTACAATAGGCCAGAAGTGGCCGCAATACAAGGTACTTAGTCCCACCATATTAGCAAAGAAATATTGTTAAGGAGACGTGTTTACAGCTCCGCTGTCTATCAATAGACGTCCTATTGTTGAACGCGTTTCTTTGGGTGGGAATACGTTTACCGAGTCGTTGCCTAGCAATGGGTATACACCTATTGTTACTATTTTGGGGTGTAACTATAGAAGGAGTTTGGATTGGATATTGGATTTATTGACACAACTCGGAACTACAAATAATCACAGCATCTCCACACTTTATAAATCACCACAACACCCGCCAAGCCTTCTTCAGCCTGCTGTGTCTTCACAAGCCGTTCCCTGGCAACGGCTTCTAACAGTGGAGATTCTTCAGCTTACCGCGCTCCGGACCTCTTGTCACATCCGCCCGTTTAGAGCTCTTGTCAATTCGCTCAACTGTCTACTATCAGTTGAACTATAGCGCCATCTCACCTCCCTTGCAGAGCTCAACTCCGACTGCCAACCCTCAACTCTCTCTCAGTCATCACCTCAGCTGGCCTGGGGTACTCATTATATTGCTTCGGGGCGGATCCAACAGAAAACAACGCAGTCAACATTTTCTTTATTGTTGTAAACGTGTTTACCGATCCTTTGCCTAGAAATGGCCGTTTGTTCATTCTCATATTGCAAAACAACGGTCGTACTCGTTTGTTTCGAGGTCTGTGCCCAGCAACGGGTCTATACGCCACAATATGAATGATTTTAAACCCACTGTATAGGAGAATGGGTGTGACACAGAGCCAGTCTGGATGTTATGGAGAAGAGAGAAATCTCTTGCACCTACTTGGAATCGAACTTCGCTCTTCGGTAGTTTTAAAACACGTACCTTCTTTAAAACGCACAGTTCTCGCTCTTATACGGCACTAACAGTCTCATTTGTGTCTAAATTCATTTTTATGTGGAGACCTTTACTCTCTCCTACGCCTGTCGACTTACTCCTATCTGGACACCTGTTGAAAAAGAACTCATTGTACTGGGGTGGGGCGAGCTTTGCCCTGCCCTGAACTTCTTCGTTCTAGTTCACATTTTCTAACAATAACCTTATGATGTAGTTAGTTATTTAGAGAGGGTGGGTTTCCCCATGCACCGCGACCAGTTTCATCTATTGTGCTTCCCTCTATGATATTCTACCAGTCTCTGTACCCTACCGATAAATGGTGCGTACCATCAGTCCCGCCGAGCAAGCGAGTTCGGCCACTTGCTTAGCGGTATCTATAATGCTTCCCCCATCTATCAGAGGCCTTAGAGACTATTGTTGGGCGGGAAACGTCCAGGAATTTGGCTCAGTGATCCCCTTTGGGGATATGAGGTTCTTTTACGTGCCGTAAAGTTACGACACGGGACACACAACTTAAAGTCCCTCCCGGAGGACTTGTTCCCTGAATTTTTCCGCCCTTAAAAATTGGACGACCTCCGCCGGGTATTTGAACCCGCGTACCACGAGTCATGAGGTGGGAACGTTACCTCTAGACTACGGAGGCCGCTTAACCTTATGATGTAGGTCAATACCAGGATTTTCCTCCAATCTACGAATATTATCAGCCTCCTATCCTATGGATATAGCGGCCTATTTCTCCACAGATAAAGCGGCCGGGGCGTGAAGCTGACCACTCACCTCTGTCTAATGCCAAAATGAAGAAATGTAGAGCTGTAACTCCACTCCCCCACATGTCTTCATGGCGTGATGCGTAATTAATCGAGCACAGAGTCGACTTCAGATTTACCTATGAATATTGTGTGATAATTTCCTCGAAGTTACTCTATTTCAGGTAATTTAAACAGTTCTTACAGCTGCATTTGTGATTAATTTTGAACAACTCTTGTTCTTTCATACAAGCAATTGTATCTTATGTCGTAACTTTAAGTCATGGTTTTCATTAGCTTGAAGTATTGAATTTTTGTTGTGAGAATCAAAGTTTTGTATATGAATGTACGTTAAGCGGAAACGGATGCAAGAGCAATGTTCTCGTATACTACAGCTTGAAACTCTTGGCAAACGCATTATTATCGGTTTGAAAATCTTATTATTCCATTAGATGGAGTCTTGCTCCAGTCAAGTCATCTTTTCCTCCTCCCTCTCACTACTTTTCCCTTCTAGGAAACAAATTAGTTCCTATATATTCTAAGATACTCAGGAGACAGCCAGGAAATTTCATTATATATTCTTTGCCATGTGGAAAACGCCGTATCCAATATTTTGATATTAAGACGGGGACTGTATTCTGAACCATCAAAATAAAACAGAGACATCCATGAAGCCTTCTTTTTGCGGGTATATCTCACTGAGATGGGAAATTTACAATTTAATTCTTGTTCTTGGAATTATTCCCAGATCAAGCCTCCGACTATCAGTAGCACATTCTTGCTTTGTGTGCATGCATTAATGACTTATGTACAAACACTGTTACTTACAGTGACTGAATAATGCTACACTCTGGGATGTTACGTCACGTGATCTGACAGAACTGTACTGACGCTTTACGGGGAGTATACTGCCCCTAACTACAGGGTAGAAAATTAAACCGAGCGAGCGAGTTAGTCAAGCAAAGTAAAACAAAGAAAAGGAAATGAAAAGCAAAAAGAAAAGAAACAAAAGCAGGAAAAGTTTTCTTCTAGCTTGGCTTATTATTTGACCTTGAAAAATGGAGAGCGCATTCCTCCAAAAGTCAGTAAACTTCCCCAAAATTAATACCCTTGTGTACTATACATATTTAAATAACTCCATATAACAGATTTAAAGGAGCCCAAGGTCCAACACAGGACTGTGCAGCCATAGATGGATGAATGGACGGACGGACGAACGGATACATAGATAGAAAGATAGATAAAACACACTCTTCTAGAGAAGCTAATAGTGGTTCAGTTAGCCCAAATCTCCAAGCTTTTGAAGAGCCAAAAGTTTAACACAGTGTTTAAGGAAACCAGTAAAAGTGCCTTATCCTGAGCCAGATGAATCCAGTACATATCCTCAAGCCACATTTGTTGAAGACACCTTTTAATATCCACCAGTCTGAGTCTGGGCCTCCGAAGCGAGCTGTTCCATTCAGGTTTCCGTGTAATATTTTACATGCATTTCTCATTTCTCCCGTGTTCCTCCCATTGACTAACCTAATCTAACGTGCCTCGAGCTGAGATAGCTCAGTCGGTATAATGATGGACTACAGGCTCGATAGCCGAGCAGGCGGGTTTCAACTCCCGGCATAAGCAAGAGATTTCTCTTCCTTCGTAGCATCCAGGTCCGCCTTGGGGCCCACTCCGGCTCCTCTCCATTGGGAACCGGGGGTTTCTTACCGGTGTTTCAAAGCGGCCGGGGCGTGAAGCTGACCACTCACATCCATCAAGTATCGCGGTTAAAAATGGTGGAGCTATACCTCCATTCTGACATATGTCTTCAGAGGGTTGACGATTAATTAGTTAAGCACGTGGAGGACTTTATATTTTACCTGAATAAAGTTTCGCAGCGTTGGGCTCCATGTATAACATGTAGCATACCTGATATTTTCATGAC